GGTCGCCATTGACTTTGGGCATCATTGTGTGGGAACGGACCCAGTCAAGCTAGGGTAGTTTTCTCCATTTGTTTCTTAACCTGCTGCGAAGGGGGGGTCGGAGCCCTGGCTTTGAAGCCGTCGCGTCGGCAGCCAATTCGCAGAGATGTTTTGTGTGTTTCAAAGCCTATGACTGTTCTTAAAGAGGAGTTTTGGTTGGGGTTTTTTTCCATTTGTAGAAGGAAGGACAAGAGTAATCTGTGGCAAACTGTACAGTACGTGTCTTCTTGTGGTGTCACTGTTTGAATGGTTATTAAGTTTTCAAATCACTGTGGACAGCTAATCACTTAAGTTATTAATTTATTCTTCGGGGTTTTGTTGTTTGTTTTTTTAAAGTAATTTGAAACAGTTATTTATCCTGTAAATCGGTCTTGAGTGAAGCCTAGATAATACTTTTTTTGCTGTTAATAAACATGGTACATCCCTGACATGAAGGTGATCTCATTTTTAAGTACTGTATATGCAGCGGGAAAGCAACGGGAAAATAAAAGAATAATAATAATAATAAAAAGACATCTCTCACTGGTGACTCCCAGCATGGATTCAGAGTGGGGAGAGAAACGGGGAATTAATGAATGGATCAAGTTGAATTACGCAGCACTTTTAAAGATTTCAGAGCATCTTCCCAGCGTGTCGCCAAGTATCTCCCACAGCTTCAGGTGTCCTGTCTGTGCAATGAGGGTCTTTAGGATGCAGTTAGGGTTTTTGCTGATACCAGAATCCAAACTGTGTGTTTTTCAGCTGATAAAGTGAATTTCATACTATATATCTGCTCCAAGGACACACTCTGGTGTGTGCAGGGTGAGGACAAATACTGCCTTCCTTACCCATCACCAGCTCAGCACACCAAATCACTCGTAAAACTTAAGCAGAAGAACAAAACTTTTTCCCCAGAGTTAAAAGTTTAACCCCCCTCTTCAAGATCCTTATATATACTTTTTAAAAAAAAAGACACCCGGGGAAAGACACCTCCCTAAATCACAGCCCCCGTAATCCCCATTTTTAGACAAGAGTAGCATCACCTTACATCTGCAGCATATCTGAGATCCCAAACCTGGAGCTGAGGACTGCTGCGGGCTCTCCTCAGCCAGGGGCATGTGTGACACTACAGGCCAAATGATTGTATATACTACAGTATATACTTTACCGATATACCCTATACAAATATTACTGTTATTACTAACACTAATATTAATACAGTATATACTATAACTGGTATGGCATAGATACTAACATACTATATTAATGCTATACTAGACTTCTGTAAGGCCTTTGATACAGTCCCCCATAACATTCTCACCTCTAAACTGGAGATATGGGTTTGATGAATGGACCATTAGATGGATAAGGAATTGGCTGGATGGCTGCATCAAAAGAGTTACAGTCAATGGCTCGGTGTCCACGTGGACATCAGTAACAAGTGGTGTCCCTCAAGGGTCCATACTGGGACCCATACTATTTAATATCTTCATCAATGACATGAACAGTGGGATTGAGTGCACCCTCAGCAAGTTTGCGGATGACACCAAGCTGAGTGGTGTGGTTGGTGCTCTAGAGAGAAGGGATGCCATCCAGAGGGACCTCCACAGGCTTGAGGATTGGGTCCATGTGAGCCTCATGAAGTTCAACAAGGCCAAGTGCAAGGTCCTGCACATGGGTCGGGGCAATCCCCAGTATCAATACAAACTGGGAGCTGAATGAATTGAAAGCAACCCTGCGGAAAAGGATTTCTGGATACTGGGGAATGAATAGTTGGACATGAGCTGACAATGTGCGCTTGTAGCCCAGAAAGCCAATCATATCCTGGGCTGCATCACCAGCAGCATGGCCAGCAGGTCGAGGGAGGGGATTCTGCCCCTCTGCTCCGATCGGGTGAGACCCCACCTGCAGTTCTGCGTCCAGCTCTGGGGTCCTCAGCACAGGAGAGACAGGGACCTGTTGGAGCGGGTCCAGAGGGGGGACACAAAAATGATCAGACAGCTCGAACACCTCTCCTGTGAGGAAAGGCTGAGAGAGAGTTGGGGTTGTTCAGCCTGGAGAAGAGAAGGTTTGGGGGGGACCTTACTGTGGTCTTTCAATACTGAAAGGGGGCTTACAAGAAAGATGGAGAGAGACTTTACAAAGGCTTGTAGTGACAGGTTAAGGGATAACAGTTTTAAACTGTAAGAGCATAGATTTAGATTGGGCACAAGGAAGACATTTTTTATGGTGAGGCTGGTGAGACACTGGCACAGGTTGCCCAGAGAAGCTGTAGCTGCCCCATCCCTGGCAGTGTTCAAGGCCAGGCTGGATGGGGCTTTGAGCAACCTGGTCTGGTTGAAGACATCCCTCCCCATGGCAGGGGCATGGGACTAGATGATCTTTAAAGGTCCCTTCCAACCCAAACCATCCCATGGTTCTATGATTCTATAATATTAGCCATGTATTACTAACTCTCATATATTACAGTATACTACTAATAGTATAGTTATAATAATATAGCATATGGTATAGTAATAGTATTCATACTAATAATCATCATCAATAATATTAATAAATTATATTAATGCAAACTTTAGTGTATGTTATTTAGTATATTACTCATATCTTACACATATTTATACAATCTGATAATTGTATATATATGTGTATATTATATATGCATATAAATACATATTTATACTATATACATATATATAGTAATTATTTTGGGGAGAGGATCATGGAGCAACTGTAGATAATGCTGTGAAAACAGAGGCTCAGGACTGAGTCCAAAAGGGAAGTCCAATGCTCAGAATTATAGGAAATGAACAGAGACTAAACCAGACCACCTCGTTACACCATTGAAACTATCCAGGCTGCCATCCATGCTGAGCGCTGCGTACAGTTTGCCTCTGCTCATTTCACAAACTCATTAGAATCATTCATTAAGTTTGGAAAAGACCTCTAAGATCATCAAGTCCAATCTTGAGGAAAAAACAAGACATATTCAGGGAAGAGCGTAGCTATGATACAGCCTCTCCATTTTCCATGTTGGGCTGATTATCTGCCTTGATTATTTAGATTAGGATCTCATCAAGGCAGAGACAGTCTCCTGCAAAAGCACCTTTCAGCACGAGGCGCAGAAAATGCCTCCAGGTGACACTCCAGCACAAAGCAAGGAGCTGGCATGACAGCAACATGAAAGCTTTCGGCAACCTCTTTGGACAGGAGGCTCATAAAAGTCTATTAATAATACCAGGAAACACTCTACTTTCTGTCTAACTTCAGCTTTGGGTCCATATTTATTTCCTCTTAGCACTGCTTTAAGTCTAGCAGACTTAAATACAACGAACACACTCCACGGCTCATCTATAAAACCTCACTAAGAGGATTGTGATCTGCAATCGGGGGGGCACCCAGCTCTGGGCTGGGGGTCCCCATCCCACCTCTGCCTGCTCCCCTCTTCCAAGCCACCACTCTGCAGGGTTGTCCCACGTCCGTGAGGTTGGATGCTTGTCTTCCATCAGCTTCCCCATCTCTTTCTTGACCCATCAGCACAATAGCTATGAACGTTGCAATAAGAATCTAAGCCTCTATGTTGAATTAATTAATTTCCTTTATTTATATATAGGAAAGGCAATAAAAGAATATGATAGTATACGCCAGAGATTTGATCCCAAGCGTCCTCTCTAGCAGACTTTCGTCTCACTTCATCCATAGCACTGTCCGTGCTTTGCCTATTCCTCCACGGCAACGCAATATTCCCACCCCAATACCCCACGGTCAGGATTAGGCCCTGCACCCAGGACCTAAGGCACAAGTCTCTGCCACTTGAGCTAGAGATCTCTACTACAGGCGCAAGGGAGGAGCAGGCAAGGACAATGGCTGGGGAGGGACATGGGAGGGAGCCGTGGTCCTCTAGACGTGCTGCCCGGGGCTTGGGTTGGCCTCCCGCCGCCAAAATCAGCCCCCGACCCATTACTGATTTATATAATACATTGGTTTACATAGTATGTATTTATATTGGGTTGATATAATATATCTGGTGGGCTACTCTCCTGGCAAATCAGCATTTTAAAAAAATAGCTAGTGGGTTTAGGGGGGCTCTGTCATTTGCTGCTCAAGATCAAGGTATCCCAAACAAAAGCCCGAGTTTTAAAGGGCAGATCCAGCCCAGAAAGCCATGAGATGACAGCAGCAGAAAGAGGCTAACCAAGTCCTAAAGACACATCTGGAAAAACAGCTGTGTGTCTGGGCCTGCTGTGTACACTAGCAGCATCCGGAGGTCACCAGTAACACAATGGGGCTTTGCTGGAGCCCCAAAAACTATCTTGGCTGGAGGGGTTTGTGCCCCTCTGCCTCTTTTGGGTGCTTTGCTGCATAAAACCTTCTGGTCCACATGCCACTGCTCACTGTGACCACGCAGGCTTGCAAGCTCACTGCCCCACCAGATCAGCATTGCCACGTTGGCTGCTCAGCATTTTTCAGCCTTTTCAGCTGCCTTCTACCTTTAGAAGTGTGTCAAGGTGGGTTCTCAAAACCACATTAAAAAAAAAACAACCAACAACCAAGCAGAGGTCCCCCCAAAACCGACTCAGCGCCACGGGAAGGGCTGCAGACGGGATGTGCATGGGACACCTCCACCCCTGGGACCCCGCTGGGTCCATCTTCATCCCCGTCCCTGTCCCCGTCCCCTCCCCAGTCTGGAGGCATGGCTCACAGCAGGCAAGACATGGCTACACTGAAGCAAAAGGGCACTTCTCTGAGCTGTCGGCAGCTGCTTATCTCCGCGTTAGCTTAGTTACATTAAGGCGTGAAGACCAAGTGCATAGGAAGCGGTGGGACCCTCCATGCGCCTCCAAATCAGCCCCTGAGTCCTTTTCCATTGAAATGTTCCCCAAATCCTCCTCCAAGATGCTCGCTGTCATCAGGGTGAGGAAGAGGAGCCTCTGTCTTCAGGTTGGCCCCGTGGACATTGGCTATCTGGTTTAACCCGTTGGCTAGAAGACGAGTCCATGAAAGGAGCCGGATCCGCCCCCGCCCGCTGCTGGGCTGCAGCCCCCCGACGAGCTGTCATCATCCTTGTCCCTGTCAAGGTCTCTCCACCAGAGTGGGGATTTCGGCAAGGCGGAAATGTAGGCGGCTCTGTTCCTTGCTTCTTTTTCCTGTTCCTGGGAGAAGGAAGGGGGAGAAATAACACAAAGATATCTGCAGCTAAATATGGGTGGGGGGATGCTCCCACCTTCCCCAAAGAGCCAGGAACCTGTTTGTTTGCCCCCAGGAGCCTCCTCCAAATTAAACCAGGGTGAGAAGGGCCATGTGCTCATCTCTAGAGCTCAGCGGGAGGGATACAGAAAAGCACTACATCTCTCCAGCGATCAAAAAACAGCCCTTCCATGTCACCTCTAGGAGAAGAGGGACCCCTCAAATTCCCCTGGGTGCTGCTCATGTCGCATGGGACACTGCTGTTTGGAAAGCATTGAACCCCACCGGTTGAATGAAATCCATCCGAGTTTGTATTCCCAGCTCGCCCATCTTTCCCAGGCACTTACGAGAAAATTTCAGGCAGAGCTGCCTGGGGCGGGCAACAGCAAGTCAACCCCGAGCACATCCACGAGGTGTCTTGCACCAACCTCAACGCCCGGTTTCATCGGGAAACTGCAACCTGGGTGCTAAAAACTAAAAAGGGTTTTGGCTTCAGGGAGCGGTGGGTATCTGCACATGCGGATTTATCCGCGGGACATGACCCTGCTGCTGCCGAGATGGGTGGGAATGTGGCCCGTGAGGTGGGCAGCTGCAGGATCGCCCCCTCCTGTGCACGGCAGCCGGAGTTACCTGCAGGTAGAGGATGTTATCTTTGGAAATGGCTTCCATCAAGTCCTTATGGAGGGAGGGTTCGCCGTGCAGGCGGCCGGCCTCGGCCAGAGCCTCGTGCAGCGGGCAGCTCTGCCTCCCTGGCCGCTGCCTGTAGAAGAGGACGTAGGCAGTGTCCTTGGGGAAGAAAGAGGTGACGTTGCTGACCGATTCGAAGGAGGAGAAGGAAACTCTGGTGTCGTTGAAGAGGTACCACTGGATTTCAAAGTCCAACTGCTTGTCAGGGGCCAGTTTCGGTGCCCCATCCCGGGGCTGCCCGTGAGGGACAGTGTCGGTGCACTCCCTGGAGTAGCAGTAGTAGTGGCCACTCTCGGAGGAGATGCCTGAATGTACCACCACGCTGCAGAGGTCATACACAACAGACATGAAGCCACTTCCCGGGGCAGCCCTGTCCTTCCCACGATGGCAAACCTCCTCGGTTTCCTCCGGGGTGACAAGGACAGGCAGCTTGAGCACCACGGGGATGGAGACGTTGTCCAAGATCTTCTTCCTCTTCATAGTCCGTGGGTCGAAGGAGAACCGCAGCAGCGTGAGGATGAGGTAGTGTGGACCCTCCGTCAGCTCCGCCACCTTCTCGGCATCCTGCAAGGATGCGCATTTCTCACAGTGGTATTTATTCTCTGCTGTCAGTCTCTCCGGGGATAGAAAATAGTTGATTAAATCTGGTACGGATCTGGAGTCCTTGGGAGCACACGCCTGCTCCCCAAAAGCCAAGAGAGGGTCTTTGGCTGCATCCACACCACTGGCATTGCCACTTAAGGGATTTGCCGCTTCTCCTGGATCCTGGAAACCCAACGTTTCCACCGGCATCGGCGGGGCTGCAGGGTCTCTGGCCATGGGGGCCTTCCTCTGGATCCAGGGAGACCCCGTAAGCTGGCTTGAGTTTTCAGGAGGCTCAATAAACTGCGGGCCAATTTCTTCCACCGGTAAAACAGACGTGCTCCCACGCATGTGCCTGTCCGGTGGGGGAAAAGCCAGGGACAGGTCTGTGAAGGCTTCTTCTCGGGAGGAGACGTTCAGACACTTCAAGCAGCGGATCTTTGTCATCATTTTACCCCCAAACATCTTCTCAATCAATGTCTTGTTTAAGTAATGATGCTCCACCGCCTGAGACATCAAGCTGGATTCCTTGAGTTTCTGGTAGATCCTTTTTCCAGTTTTTTCTTCTTCATGTAATCTTTGGCAGGGGAAAAAAAGGCTGCATTATGCAGTGATACAATACCAGGAGGTAGTTTCTAAAGTAGGGTTTCTATTCTTCACTCCGGAGAGTTAATCCGGGTTAACCTGTCTGTGCCCAGGGGTCTGGTGCTGTGGGAGGAAGGTGGGGAGGAGTTGGGCAGGATTTGGGAACCTGAGGTTTCCATGTGCCATTGACCCCCCCTGCTTCTAGAGGGATCGCTGGGATACCAGAGATTCAGGATTTGTAGGTAAGAGAAAGGCAAAAATCAACATTTTACAGAGGAGGCTGAGTGGTTTGTCTGGCAAATCTCTAAACTTGGTACAAATCTCTTTGCCTTCAGAGCAAAGGCAGGCATTTTCAAGTTCTGACCTTACCCCTAAGCCAGCCCAACCAGGGTTTTATCAAGGAGCCCCGGACCAGTCTCACCATCTTTCACCCCAAGCCTCCACTCTCCCAACTCGTCCAGGTCTCAGCCGCTTGCCCCGTTTGCACGTGGGTCAGCATTAAACATTACATCGGGTCTAGGGATGCCGTTGTCACCAGGCTCCGAAATCACGGTGCTTGCCACGTACCGGTCCAGCAAGTACTTGAGATATTCCGAGCAGTCCTGCTGAGCACCGGGGGTGAACCAGGGTGGCCAGGAGGCAGAGAGGAAACTCTCGGGTGAGATGGCAGGTCGCTGGCAGCAACACAGAAGAAGGAGAAGTGGATTTAACCCTCGAGATTTGGTTCTCACTTCACATAGGGGGATGGAGAGGGGAGGGGAGGCTCTTTCTGGCAGCTTCACTGGGAGCAAGATGCGCTCGTGTGCCTGATAAGGTCCCCTTTTTTCCCCTACAAAGGCTAATCCCAGTGCACAGGAAGACTTGCTCGGTTTGCTGCAAGCCAGGACGGTAAGGATGAATTTCAGCCATTATTTTACATATACTTCTATAGAATATCCACGTGTTTATTTCTTCCTTCAATTTTAAAACGGTTTATTGGCCTGACCCAGAGACTTCTACTTAATTCAGCCTGAATTTAATCTGATGCTCCATTTAATTTGATCAGGATCTCTCACCAAATCCTTTCATAAAAAAAAAAACAAAGCAAAAAATCCACTAAACTTCCACCCGTCATTCTGATCACTGCAGGGAGGTAATCTGCATTACTGGATAATGTAATCTCTGCTGTTAGGAAGCTGCTGTCTAATTAACATGGAAAAAGACCCATGTTTGGCAAAGAAGTGAGTTTAAGAACAGCCCAAAGAAGAAAAAAAAACTAGAAGGCTATTAGGAAATTGGCAGGAAAATATTAACCATAAACTACACAACAAGCAAATATGCTTCTGTATTTGCTCATCACAGATCACAGACACCCTTACCTGACATCAAAAACTAGACTCTTCTATGACCAAATATTAAATTTAACAGGTTGTCTATATTTTTCCTCCAAAAGTCATCTGTAATGACATAATACCACAATGCAACAAGCCAGCTCTGTCAGTCAAGGCTTGGAAAATGGAGAAGCCCAGATGACTAGTTTCACACCAAGGGAAAATTCACTGGACTTTCAAAATCATGTATTTCTAGGGACAGAAAGTTATATTTCCAAGAGAGGAGCTAGATATGACGTAGCTGTATCTCCAGGAGTCATTCGTATTAAAGTTCATGTTTGTCAAGAAAGCATTCATAATTAATTTGTTTAAGGGTGTTATTTTTATTTTAATTTCTCTCCCATACAGAGGATTCAAAGCATCTGAAATCTACGGGGGTTTTTTGTTATTATTCTTTTAACAAAACCACTTTTAAGGCAATTGTCATTGATTGCTCATGCTTTGCTGTGAAGCAAGGGGACAAGCAAGTTGCTGCTGTCTTCTTCCTTGCTGCGTAGCAAGGAATAAAAACCTCTGCTTTATACCAACAGGCTTTTCAGCTGGCCACATATATGTAAACTATTACCAAAGGGACTTCATTGTCAGAACTATTAGTTATTTCATCAGTCCAACCCAGGAAGACCACAGGCTGAAGACAGGCAGCCTGGTGTGAACACAGCTCACTTTCATGGGTGATAGGAGCTTGCCTCCTCCACCCCCAAATTAGCCTCTCTCATATAAACAAAATCTGTCCCGTTATAAAAACCCACCACGATCCACAGCTCCTTATCAGCACGTTGGAGTCGGCAGGAAGCAACTTGGAGACGAGCCTTTCCGCAGCCGACAGTCCAAACAAATAACTAGAACATGAAATAATTACCTGACTGTGCTCCAAAAACGCAAAGAGCCACTGGAGCTTTGTCATCAGGGGCTGGGAGTTGCCCTCAGTTAAATTCAACACTGAATGCCGAAAGCTGCAAAAGAAAAGCAGAGATGCAAACCGTAAGATGGAAAATCAGTGCAGGACGCGCAATGCCAGTGTGATGAGCAACGCCTGGAGCAGTCTTGAGTGGGAGCAAGGGAGCAAAAACTCACTCCGAAGCCATGAAAAGAGACTGTATGATGCTGTTCATGTAGCACGTGTTTCCCAAGTTAATTAACCCAATCTTTCCTGTCTCTGATTTGGATGCCAGGCGTGGGTAGAAGCAGGCCAGCTCGTTCTTCTGGGAGGTCCAAGCATTTTGTCCCAAGAGATGTTTAATACGGTCTTCATTTGGAATAGGAAGAGCCTTGGAAAGAGAGATCTGTGTTACAAATCGTTATCTTTCCATGTGAAGAATTAGTAATGGGCAACAGCAAAACTCCACTGCTAGAGGTGTTCACGCAACTCATTTCCCCTGCTCTTCACATGAACATACATCCATGCAAGGCAGTGTTTAGCTGCTAGTATTAGTCCTTTAGAGGCATTCAAGATTAAAGCTATAGCTAAAACCCACAGGCTCAATCAGGACTTCTGCAGGCTCACCATAAGAAAAGTATCTTCCCTCAACTTGCCTACGTGGGTCTCAAACTCAGAATTTTAAACCCTTTGTTCTACCACAATTTGAGGTGTTGAGTTTAGGACATGCCTCCCAGTAGCACAGTCCCTCTGTAGTAGGCTGCAAACTAAGACGCCATTTCCACATGGAAAACAGAAAAATGGCCGAGAGATGCGTATCTTACTTTAACTGCTTCTAGGACTGGTTCGTAGAGATCTGGAAATCCTGAGAAGCGGAAGAACATGCAGTGGATGAGCTCGGCCAGCTGCTCCAGGGAGCTAGTGGCAGAGTTGGAGTCCTCCTTCTTCAGAGAGGCCACCAGCCTGGGGATGTGAGGGAGCAGCTGGAAAAGGAAAATTCATTGCATCAAAAATGGCTCCAATTACTCGCAGAGCTTTAACACGCATGCAGGGGAATGAAATTCACTCTCAGGCAGAAAGGACAGTCAATGGGAGTTGACTTCAGTCTCATTCTGGACTTCATCCTTCACCCTATGAACTCAACAGAAACTCTTCTGTTGACGTTAGTAGTGCAAATGCTATAGACCTCAGAGGGTTTCATGTTGCATGACACCTGCAGGTTTGTGCTGCTGCTTCACTGTGCTGTGATTACCATTCTCTGTGCAGATCAATCTCTACTAAATCACACACCCACGGTGGAAGGGAGTGTTATATGCTGACTGCCAAGTGCAGGGATTCAAATCTACATGACAGATGAATTAGCCTACAAGAATTGTTGTCTGGTGTGCTATATTTTATTTTATACTGTATAAACTAAACTGGAATTGGTATGGTCGGGTGGGTGGCGACAGGCATATAAACAGCACATTTGTTATTTTGCTTTCATCTAGAAAATTTAAAAATTAACAAGCAGATGCAAACGCAAATGATACATTGCTCACGGGCACCCTCTGCTGACCCCACAGCTGCACAGAGAATTAATAACCTATTTCCAACTCCACAGATGTGCTAGAGTGACCCTGGGCACTTTTGCAACCTTTTTCATATTTATATTTTATGTTATTTTTAACCCAGAACAATCCTAGAGTAAAGTTGCAGGATCCCCAGTCCAGCCATTTCTCTTCCTGCCTTCGGCTTCCTCTCTTCTTTCTCTCTCTCTTTCTTTCTCCTCAAAGTGTTGGAGATTCTAACGATTTTCTTTCCAACAGGAAGGTTTTTTGGGGGAAGCAAATGAATCTCAGTACCATTTTACACATCAATATTTTGCCAAGCTGTGATGGGAACCATTCTCAAAACCTTTCCAAAGTGCCAGGGCAAACACAAAAAGATAAGAAGCAAGACAGGTTTTTGCCCTGTTTTTAAAAAATAGGGGAGGAAATTTATGCTTGCTGGGCTGCAGATGGAAACTTCAAGCCAAGAGTAACCAACAGCTTTTGGAGTGTTTCAAAATTTGGATGCCCCACTGAAGACAATCCATTGGAATGACCCTATTTTTAGAAACCAAAGAATTTCTCAAGAAATTCAGGCTCATTTAAAATGTCTCCAGCTGAGGAATGAAAAAATATTAGTTGAAAATGTTGGCTAGCTTTGCTTTTTTCCAGACTTATCTGTTTATTCTGTGAATTTTAGGTGAAAAGCCAAATGTCAGGGCTTTAATGAAAAAGTATAAAATCAAACATTAATAGGAGTAATTTTCCATTACTGCTTTTATCAGGTCAATCACTGCAAGCATGCCTTTGCCTTTAGCTTTGCTTTTTTATTACAGCATTCCAGGGGCAACGCCAGTGAGAAGCGGAGCCGTGCGTTAGTGTCAACAGCAAGATAAAATACAAAATATCACTGTGGAAATGAAAAGAGGAGATTCAACTGCTGCTAAAAGTGGTTTTTGCTTTTAGAAGCAGAGGATTCATGAAGTGGAAGTGTTCGGATCCAGTCTCCAAGTCGTATTGTGCTGATGCTGTGCAAGGCTTTGAAAGATGACCTATCACTTCAAGAAATGGTAATGGGCGCCCATATGTCGATGACAATTTGAAGTCACCTGTGGGATGGGGCCCACTGAGTCCAAAGGACAGTCAGGCACCTGCTTAGGAAACAGCAAAGGTTGTTTAAGAATATATTCCCTGTCCTCCACTGCCTGAACCCTCCGAGACGCTCTCAATGCAAAGGTTTCACCGAACGCGTCCCGAAGCCAGAGTGGCAGCATCTACCGCACCTCAGCTGAAAGGGTGGGAACAACATGGGGCCATATCTTCTAAACCTGCCCATGAAACTACATCCCAAACCAGCCTTAGGGTCAGCGTAGCCCCACTCACTTTCCTGTCCCAGGCCACCCCTCCACCTCCTCCCCTTTCCTTCTCCAGGCAAAGGCAATAGTGCAGGTTTGTGGTTGGCCCACACCCAGACCAAGCTGGGCAATACTGACCATCAGGATTTTCTGCTAGGTTCGCTTTCACCTGGGCTCCTTTTACAACGCAGTTCAGCTGTACAAATGGCTCAGCACAAGGGAGAAGCAAGCGGTCTAAGAGCAAGAGCAGGGAAGAGGGGAACCTCCTCTTCTACCTGCAGGGCTGGCAAAAAAACAGGTTAAAATCACTGCAAGAGCACTACAGCTGCTGATGATGAGACCCTCGGTGTGGCTTGACGGGCCATCCAAGATATATTTGCATTAACTGCATCCTCGGCTGGTGGGCTTTGAAGTTGAGAGGGGACCATGGGGATGCACTTGCCCATAGAGATCGCTCCTCCAGCTGGTGGAGCACCGCAGAAAAAAAAAGTGGAGCATGCACACACTGCACACATTTCAAATCTGGAAGCGCCAAGCCCCAACCAGCTTTATACTGATTTATCCCTGGAGATGAGCCATCCAGCTGGTAAGCCTGAAGAGAAATTGGAGGAACCATCAGAGGAGAAAGCAAAGCCTGACTTCTCGTCTGCACCTCGCTTTCTGACGCAGGGTGATTGCTCTGTCTGTGGCAACCAACTCCTTTTAGGCTCAGGACTTGCCTCTGCATCTCAGCACCGCCTCCATGGTGCCCAAAAAGCTGTTTGGGCTGCAGGAGAGGCTACCTGCAGCTGCCAGGACAGGCTACAGGTGGATGGACAGGGTTTGATTTACCTCAGTGAAATCAAGCAGATGAGGGAAATATTCCCCAATATCTCAGCCCCTTAGGTTCCCTCCCACCCACGTTGTCCCACGGCATCATTACATTCAGGGCAATGCCCTCATCTGGGTGCCGTACGCAGCCTTACCAAGTGAAATGCCTCGTGGGAGTGCTGGAAGCTCAGCAGCATGTACTGCAGGACGGACAAAGCCCCCTCTCTCACGATGGGGTACAGCAACTTGGAGAAGACCTGGTGGGGGACAAAAAAAAAAGCAAATGAGAAGGCAAGATGGCACTGCAACACGCAGGAGAAGGGGCTGGCAGGAAAGAGAGGCACTGGGCATCTGCCACGGCTGCTGGTCTGTTCCTACGCCACGATGGATGTTGAAGCAAGCAGCCTGCAGCCAGGTCTCCAGAGTCATCTCCTGTCCAGAGCACAGCCTCAGAGCATCCTAAAAATACCGCCTGGGTTATCCTCACTCTTGCAGGCTTCTGCAATGCCTGGCACAGTGTCCTGGTTTCAGCTGGGATAGAGTTAATTTTCTTCTTAGGAGCTGGTACAGCGTGTTTTGGATTTAGTGTGTGAATAATGTTGATAACACACGGATGTTTTAGTTGTTGCTAAATAGCGCCTATCCTAAGTTAAGGATTTTTCAGTTTCCCATGCTCTGCCAGCAGGTGTACCAGAAGCTGGAAGGGAGCATGGCCAGCACAGCTGACCCGAACTAGCCAAAGGGATATTCCATACCGTAGAACGTCATGCTCAGTATATAAACTGGGGGGAGGTGGCCAGGAGGCACAGATCGCTGCTCGGGCATTGGTCAGTGGGTGGTGAGCAATTGCACTGTGCATCACTTGTCTTTTCTTGGGGTTCATCTTTTATTATATTCCTTTTCACTATTATTATTATTATTGTTGTTGTTAGTATTACATTTTATTTTACTTTATTTATTAAATCATTCTTATCTAAACTGCAGGGACAGCACGGCCTCAGCGCTCGGCCCCCCTAAAAATCGCATGTTATTTTAAGGGCTGTGTCCCTTTCCTATGCATTAACAATGAAAGGAAAGATAAAGAAAAGCCAGAGATGCTTGGCTGCTCTCCCACTGCTCAATGCATGTGGGGGATCACAGGGACAAATGCAGTTATTGATAACGTTTCAATACTGATAATTATAGTCTTGATAACTCCTATGGTGACTTCCACTGCAGCCTAGCCAGGTGTTAACCCCCTTATAAGAAGGAGGGAACAGCAGGACCACAGCATGGAAAATGCTTTTGAAGTGGCAACCAATTTCAGCACTTGGTCACACGGTTTTCAGAGAACGGCAAGTACTCACTGCTGAAACACGTGATGGCAATGGCAGTGGGGGCTTTATCTGAGCTGGTAAATGAACTAAGGCCAGGGTACTGGCTTTAAAACTGACCTGTGACTGTGTGGACTGTTAACATGCTCACTGGTATGTATTTTGCCTGTGCCAACCAGCACTGATCCAGGCACAGCTGAAGGAGAGCGTGTCACGCTCCCAAAGGCAGGTTTTACAAGAGCTCCATAGTTTGGGAAGGATAGTGTTTGGTTGGCTTGAAAATCCTCGGCTTCTTTTATTTCATAACCTTTAAGATATAAGTACCTCTGCATACCAAGACCTAAAGAACTGCGGGTCGTTCTGGAGGACATCGTTCCTAGCTGCAAAACCAGTGTCAGCCCACCACCCCCCGCAGCAATGCAGCATTCGCAGAGGGTGCCGGGGACACAACGGTCCCTCCAAACCCCCTTGGGACAGCATACTCTTTCCTATACATCTAAAGTCACCTCTCGCCCTCATTCAGTTGAAAGGCAAGAAGACATCTCAGGTGCAAGCAGAAGTCTGTTGTTCACATTCATGTTTAAAAGAGCCCACTGACCTTTTCAATTTTCGAAAGAGTAACTTCAATCAAGATGCTGAACTTTTTCACCGCAGCCAAACCCTTCAGCAGAGCAATGATCCACTTGTCTATGTTCTTTCCCAGGGGCCAGGACACCCAGTCAATCATCCTGAAATGAAAACTCTTAAGGTAAATTTAATGCACATATTGTGAAAGCCAAGCTCAGCTCTGGGTTTAACCTCCTCCAAATTTGTGTCTAGTCAGTGGGATGACCAAGTAAGAGACGGGCCCTTCCTAAGGCATTTTACATGTTATTCAAAGCACAACAGAGCCTGAAATGGAATTACCCCCATGTCATTATCACACTGTGGTTCATCAGAGGACCAGATCCAAGTCCATAGAAGAAAGCAGGGATTTCTTCCACTAACTTCAGTCAACTTGAGTTCAAGTTTTTAACACTGTTACGGTGTTCTATATACCACCTGCAAGAGGTGTTGATCAAGGTCTCTGTATTGTCACCATTAGAAAACAAGTGACACTGGTATGATCTCTGCATTGTTACTGGTAAGGAGAAAAACACTGAGATTCAGATCTTTTCATTCTCTGTGTGGGAAACATTGATTTCCAGAAACACATTTTAAAAAAACACTGGTAACCCTAATAGAAGCCAGATATTCCTGAATGACACAGCTAACAAATTTCAACTATAGCCACGCAACCAACATGTCGTCATGTTTCTGCAAGTAATAAGTACTTTACAGAAGCCACTCATAAAAAAACAACCTCAGACTAAGTGATGACACACTGTTGCTGTTTAAATTTAATGTTAAGCAAAAACAGGAAGCAACTAAGGCTTGAGATCTCCAAGGGTCAAAATTTGCTAACCATTTCAGTACCTTTGATTTGCAGATATCCCAAATCTTCTGTCTCCCACATCAGTCCAGCAATCTTACCCAGTCAGTCCCTTTTGCTTATCAGCCTGTATCTCGTGCAAGATACAGGAAGGGAACACAGATAACTAACCACCACAAGGCAAAGAGCAGGAATAAGTGAAGTCTACGAGGAACTAGAAAAATAAAAGGCTAGTCAGTAAAGAAAGCTTGAAGAGCAGAATATGTTGGGATGTTGAGAAATACCAAAAGTCAAGCCAAGATGGATAATAAAGCAAATACCAGAAAAGATTCCACAGACATTTGCATCAGAGGAGAATAAGGAAAGCCATGCAATCGCTGTATACGGAGGATGTGATAGTGATTAAAGATATGATATGGCCTCTAGATGTGACTTCCAAACTAAACACAACCTCTGCCTCCATTTTCAGCAAAAGGAAGGAATTGATCAGGGTGACAAAGAGGAGGCAGATAGAAGGTTTGAGAATGGAAACAAGAGCAAGGACAGCTGATATGAAAGGAAAACATGAAGAGTTCATGAACTCCAAATGAGGAGTTGGTGATTTCTATCATGTAATATTAAACTCTGGTAGGCTTTAATGACTCTATAAACTTTGGCGTGGTGCTTTATGATGACAGGCAATGAGGGGATGACTGGGAAGAACAGATAGCGTGCCACAGGGTGTTACCATAAGTGCCAAAGTCAGCTTTGTCAGAATATATGAATTTCTAGTCAAAGGACAGAAGTAGATCATATCTGACTGGCTATCTGAAAGGAGGTTGCAATCTTCAGGATCTAATGATGTTAGCACAAACATCCTGAAGATGGCGGTGAAATCTCTGATGATGCAAAGTGGGGAGGCATCAACAACAAAAGACGAGGATCAAGGTATCATGAGGAAGACCCTGAGGATTAGAAATGCAGAACTGGGAGGAAATGTATTGATTCAAAATGCATGCAAGGCACAAGAAATGGAAGCTATGTGATGATAACTCATCTGCTTGAGGACAACCAGCCAGGCACCAGGTGATTAAAAGTTCCCAGTGTAACCATAGCCATGGAAAAGACCAGCACCATGCTGTGGTGCAGAAAAAAAGGTGTTTTCTACGGCAAAACAATGACCTCAAGCTCTTGTCCAAGGCCGTGATGAACCGCACCTGGAACCTGGTGCTCAAAGGTCACCATCGGTGTTCAAGACCAATGAACTGAAGTGGGAGCAGGTGTTGAAAAAACCTGTTAAGGTGGTCAGGGAAATGAAGAACACTTCCTGCAAGAAAAGCTTAAAATAACCTGGCTTGTTTAGCACAGCCACAGGAAAGCAGAGATGGGAAGGGACTGTTCTGCCTGCATACATTGAAGGAATAAACACCAGGGAGGCAAAAGGGCTATTTCAGCTATTTATGTTGGCATAAGATCAAATGAACTATAAGATGGCCAGAAATACGTATGGGCTGGCTATTAGAAGAGAGATTTGAACCATTAAAGCAACCCAGTGGTGGAACAGCTATGAAAGAAGAGCAGTAGGAGCAAAAGCCCTTCCTGCTTTGAGGGGTGTAGTTGAACATTCATGAAAGGGGTCTGTAATGTCAATGCCTATAAAGCAGGGAGATGGAACCAGAGATCCAAAGGTCCCTCTTTGCCCTATCTTCTTTTACACAGGCATAAAATAACCTTGTCCGCTTTAAGCTATTTTTTACCAGCACTAGTGGCTAAGTTACAGTCCTGCCTGCTGTCTGCCTGCATTGCTACAGTAGGAAGAAATTACATTTTAATTTAATTTACTTTCCACAATGCACAATCCACTAATGTTTTGGAAGCCAGGGCCCTAATTTTCCAAAGGAGCTGTTGATTTGGTATGCTAAACTTTTAAAAGCTCAGATCCTGACTTCCAGAGGTAGCAAGTGCCTGCATTGCTGTGTGACAGCAGATGCCTTCTTCATCTGGACCTGGGCTCTTTGAAACAGATACACCCCCAGGAAAAGAAAAGAAAAAAAAAATAAAAATCAGTGAGTACTTCTGAAGTCATGGATGCACATTAATAGAGACTATCTGAAAAGAGACAAACTCTAAAAGAAACTCTCTAAAGGAGATTGTGGTGTACACTTATACCAGCAGGTGCCAGGCTTGCTTTTTTTTACCGCTATTTGTTCTTTAAACGCTTGATCAGAAGCTCCACCCCACGCCCAGTTTATTCCCCTGCTACCAACTCCCAAACCTAATCTTTGGAGGAAGAGACTTCTGTATGTGACCAGTTTGCCAGGGATCCTAAGCTGAAAGATCTTTTCAACCAGGACATTTTTCTTTGATTTTCTGGGCATGGAGCACACGGTCATCGAAAGGCCAACAGTCGTGAAGTTTTCTGGGACACCTGTCTGCTGTAAACATGCTGCCAAAACTTCCACATTTCTCCTAAATGATCTTAATTACATTTTGCAGGCATTTGCTTAATGTTTGGCTAATTCTGAGTAATCATTTACTCATCCTTCTGTGTGACAAAGAATGTTTTCAGGAATGATGCAATTGACTTTGCAACCTCTATATTTAGACGCTGGTGCTCTTAGATTTATCGCCTGGAGCTCGCAGCTGCAGGTTCCCAGAAGGAGAAAAAGATGGAGAAGAGGGTTAAGAACTGAAATGATAACTTAATCTTTTGTCTTGGGTTGCTCTGGACTCTGGGAAAACCATGATCTTCCCCAGCAAGTCAAAAAGAAGCAACGATGTCCTTCTGAAGGGACATGGGAATCAACATGAAATTCTGTAAAGGAGATTTTTGTGAAGAAAAGGCTCTCAACAGCTTCTGGAAAAAATCAAAACTCTTCAAGATTTCTTATGTTAGGCATCCCATAACACTACTTATTTCTAAGAAAAAAGAAATATAAACAGCAACAAAAAAAATCAATAAATAAAAAGTCTTTATTCTAGTTCTCTGCACCCTCAGGGCTGGAAGGAAGGATCCAGAAATTCCCTTTTTCCCCCCACACTCCTCACTAGACAGCACCAGCCAAACTGGTTGGGATAAAATCACGCAAAGGAACTGAGTGCAAGCTTTGGTGCAGGTTTTTCTCCGAACTGAGAATGATATTCACTAATGCAGCTTCTCCTACCTGCCAATGGCCGTCATCATTTGCACATCAGTGATGCTGTCATCGTTGGTTAGGTTTCTTATGACGCCATCCATGAGCTCCAGAGGGACAAACTGGACCACACTGGCCAAGGCGTTGGATGGCGCTTCCTGCTCCTCTGCAAGAGATGGATGAGCGCCAGCGATGAAGATGTTAGTCGCCGGGAAAACCAGGCACATGAGGTCATTTCTCATCTCTAAAAGCCAAATCATTTCTGCCTACGTAAATGGAGCGGATAGTCAGCTGGTGTAAATGAGCAATGCGGAGTCCACACTTAGCTGCGCTAGGAGGACAATTTCCCAAATCCCAATGTAGCACATAATGAGGTTGGGTCATAGCAGATGGGCTGTTGCATGAAGCCATACGCAGCCCAAAGGGAGGAAGAGATCACAGGAACAAGAGTGTTCTTGGGTCAACCCCAGGTCCCAGATTTCCTCTGCGTGCTCTCTTTATACTAAGTACTGCAAATAACTGCAATGGGATGCAATTGCAGGTTTGCCTGTCTGGAGCACCCTCCAAAGGATGAGGCTTTCATATGGAGGGCACTGAAAAACCCATCTCCTCATGGGCTGAGGAATAGCTGGAGCAGGAGCTCACCTGCCGGTAGAGAGTCCAGCCTTTTATAGCATTGGTACCCCCAAAAATCTTCTGAGACCCTCTGCAATAACCTAAAGGCCCCAGAAGTTGGATAAATATCTTCTGTCCCACCTTAAGGTATGACCACCCTCCAGAGAGATAGTAGTGCTTCCTACCTCTAGATCGGTGAGAAATAACTCCTTAGCTTTGTCCCTAATTTCTGGTAAGGAGCAGGCTGGGGGCTCCCATCAAGTCAGCCATAAGAGAGTGACATTTCTCAAAGCTTTCAAGTCCCACTCTAACCAGCCGCAGACAAGGTGCTTTCCATTAAGCCCAGCTGATACTGGAAAGTGCTGAACACACAAATTTGTGCTGCAAATATTTCAACCCAGTTAACAACTCCTGTGTACAGACTCTGTGTGGTTTCAGGGGATATTGTTTCCCTAGCTTAAAGCCCTGGGTAGCTTTTAGAGATGCTTGTTTATTGTATTTCAGCTGTGGCTGCATTTCTGGAGTGGATGAAAACCATGCAAGATGTCAGACTAATCAAATTTGACTTCATCAGAGCCAACATTTACATTCCCAACCTTTTTTTTTTTTTTTTTTAATTACCTGTTGAAGAAATGATAGTGAACAGCTCCTTCAAAGAGGGCAGGATGGCTGAGGTCTGAGTCCTCCAGATCCTCTGCAGCAGACCGCTCACTTTGTTCACCTGCTCCAAAAACTCCATGATGTCCTCTTCCCCCTCGGAGATGCACTGGAACTGCCCGATGCACCGGATCAGCTGCTGACAAAACAAGACCTGGTGTTTGCCCGTGGGAATGCACTGAGGATGTTGGGTTAAGAGTTTGCTGATCTTCGCACATTGCTTGGGGCTGGGCCTCTCGCAGACTTTCCGGAGCACCTCGATCCTCAATAAGCTGAAGATGCTGTTTGCTGACGGGCTTTCCAGGACAAACTGCAGTCCTAATTGGATATAATCGAGTACGTAATGGCTTCTCTTCCCCAGAGGTCCATAGCCTTCCTGGAGGAGACTCAGCAGGAAGCGAACGTTGAAGAACTCCTCAAATTCCTCGGGGTGGTAGTGGCCGTAGACCTCCAAAACCTCTTTCCCAATCTCTCTTTTATACTTGGTGTCCCCCGTGAGATAAAGCTTGGTAGACAGCTCCAGCATAGACCAGCATTGCTCGCTGTCCATGGGCTGCTTTGCTGCCTCAATGACGCGCCTCACAAGCCCTTGCTTCACATTGTTGGGGTATGAGGACATCACCACGGCTTCCAGTATTTTATCCATCTCTGCTCCCAGCTGCTGAAAGAGAGGAACAGAGCAGCAGATTAGTTCAAGCAGGGTCTGCCGAGCTTTCAAACCCAGGTTGGCAAGGGATGTCAAAGAAGCAGAGCTTGAGAGCTGTCTAGGACCACTATGAAGATGATAATTCTTGTGCCCTTTTCATGGAGACATTCAGAAAATTTTCCACTCTGGTGATGTTTGACGGAGACTAAAGCCCCCAGACTGACTGAATACACAAAAATACAGAACTTCTACAGACTAATCACACATCTGAGCATTTTTGTCTTGTAAACAACCAACTGCAATCTTACACTTGACCCTAGGGATGGATGAGCTTCCTCTCCTCTATGGGTTCAGCAACTCAGCATCGTACCCCACGTTTCACAAAATCCAGTGCCCACTGGAGACAGCCTGCCACAGACCACAGAGGGGCTGAGTGGGGAATTAGGGCAGCCAACGTCTTCCACTGGCATCTGCTGGCTCAGGTGTCCTCAAGAGGTGAAGATGCTCCCAATGGTTGTCTTCACATTCAGGGAAGGAGAGAAAAGCCCTGGGAAGCAGAGATGGGATTGCAGCCTCTCTGTGCAATAGCAGGGGTGTACATCTGACATTTAAGCCGTGCTGCCAGCCACTCCGGCTGAGTGGTGCAGTCTTGGCTGCTCCCCAGGGACCTGCTGCATTTGTATGCAGGACCAACGCGAGAAGGGAGAGAAAATGCAGAGTCAGGAAAAGTTTCCCATTCGTCACGGCCCGAATTCACCAGCAATAAAGCGTTAGAGGAGAGAGTGCTTAAAAAACCCCCTAAGGATTTCCCTGGAAGAACTCAGAACAACATTTATAACCAGGTGTTGGATGTACTACTACACAAGAAACCCTGTTACAGAGTGATAAAATCAGACAGACAGGATTTCTTAGAACATTACAGGGACTGTATAAAGGCTCACCCACCACGGGTCCCCCCAGTGCCGTGCGCTGCACAAATACACGTTTGGAGAACGTCCGTTCCTGCCTATAGCCTGAAACAATCCATGCGGGAGGGAGAAGGAAGGTACGTATCATCTTCATTACCTAAATGAGGGATCAAGGCAGGACAGATCCATCCACGCTCATGGGTGTCTGACCAGAATAATAATCACCACCTTTCTGTTCCTCAGTTTCCTAATCTGTGAAATGAGGACAACACGCAGCAATTCCTAGCGGGGTTGGGTGAAACTTCCTTCGTTAGCACTTGGAAAGCATTTGAAGCGGGTAGTGTTATATTAATGAAAAACATGCACGCAGGTGGCATGTACAAGCATGGTTTTCACAGATGACATCCAGAAGGGACCTCAGAGGATGCCATCCAGGGACCATCCCATCCCCAGAGTAAGCCTGTATGTGAGCCAGAGTGTCTTCTCTCCTGGTAGACAGCTGCTTGCTGGTGGAGAAGAAAAACCCACGCCAGATACAAACCTCGAGCTCTGGCTCACAGTTACTTGGTTGGGAAGCCTTCCCATTCGACCACACATCACCTCTCCCCTTCATTGCTTCACCCATAATCTCACAGGGTGCAAAAAAAAATGATATATATATATGGCCACCTCCCCATCCAGCAATGACAGCAGCCTACGCTGCAATGGCTCTTCAGGCATCACCTTGGCCTTTCTGTCCCCTGCCCGTTGACTCATACAGTTCTCTGTTCATGTGCTGGATTTATTTTTCCCCATCAAACACCACAGGTGCCTTCCCTGCAACAAGCTATGGCAGAGCTAATTCTCCTTATCGCATTATTTTCACAGGATAGAAGACATAAAATGGACTCTTGAGGGACCAGCCTGCATTAAACCAGTTACAAATGAGGACAAGGTAAGAGGAGAGAATAAAAGCCCACAGGTAATGTCTTTTCACCTCAAACAGAAAGTACCACAGTGACAGCAAAGGCTAAAAGCCAACCTGGAGAGCAGATGGGGCTTGCAGACAGACCAGAAATCAGGAGGAGCAGTTGTCCTAGCTGTAGCTCAGTGGTCACCTTGGCCATACAGAGGTTGGCACAGACCTGCCGTCAAGCTCGTATCCCCTTCACTCCTCTCTGCAGCTTCACAGACTGAGTTCTGACACCCCAGATGTCTGGCAGATAGATAAGGGACCAGGAGGAGACAGGAGGATCTACAGCATTCACTGGTTGTGTCTCACCGTTACGTAGGTACTTCCCTGGAGAAATCCATGCTGAGCCTGGCACAGCAGTGTGGAAACACCACCCAGGCAGGATGGTCCAAAATGGCTACAGACCTTTTAGACCTAATCCCATAAATTACAACAATCCACAGCCCACTGGTGTACACGGTGTTGGGTGGCCTCACTGCCTCTCTCGAGGGTGATGGTTGTCCACTGCTGTCCCCTGTATGACTGGGATTTAACTACTTTAGCATTGCCAAACTTCACCCAAATTTTCAATGCAAAGAGTCTACTGCCATCTGAATTTAGAGATAAACTTGCAGCTTCTGAAAGGGCTTGGTTCTTTCTCAGGCTTATCACGAAGGGGATGTGAGGATGGGTCACCCCTGCCTTGCTGCCTGGAGTGCAACTAGGTTTTGTCTGACATAGAGCAGAAAGGACAAGGCTGAAACAAAATCCCTCCATCGTCAATAGACAAACAATGGAGAATATCTAAAGACTGTAAAGGCAAACCATCTTCCTCATCAGAAAATGTCATAGCGTCTCATATTGACGTTAGGACCTCGAAGACACGTGGGGAGAACCACCTGAGTTGACCTTGTGGTGGAGGGTCCATGTTCTCCTCACCAATGAAGGACTTTACAGTACAAGGTTGGACTTCAGGTAACACAGTCCCACCTACATTTGTCCAACTACCTGGTGTCAGCAGGAGGGGACAAGACCATGTTTCTGTTGTGTATCAGGGTACACCAAGCTGCTCTCTGGGTGTGGGCCAGACAAAGCCAGGATGGAGGATGCTAGCAAGGGAGCTCCTAAGAAGGAGACATTTATAATATATATTACAGTGTTAGAACTATATTAAAACAACATTCAAGTCACTTTATAATATGTAATAACAAATATTACAGTCTTAAAACCACACTAAAAGAGCATTCTACACTAAAAGATCATTCACATGTCAAAGGTTAGGAATTAAGATGGCTAATTCAACCCCAGCACAGCTCCAGATGCTTTCAGAGAGATATTATTTAAAGGCTCTCATAGTAATGTTTTTTCCCCCCAGGACCTGCCTGGAGAATGAATCAGGGTTTGCAGTGAAGGAGACTGTTGTCTGTAAGATCATTGTCTCATTTGTTGTAGAAATTGGAAGTGTGTCATAAATAACCCAGGGAACTGCAGGAGAGGGAAGGACAGTTTCATTGCTGGGCAGCCGAATGCTGCCTTGGAGATCTGGTTCCTGGCTCTCCTCTGTTTAGTACTGGAATAAAGAGACTAAATATTCAGATAATCAGGCTTCTATAATGACTGCTCCTGAAGTGGAACAACCTTTCTGCACTTCATCTTCCTCACTGGCAATAACAACTCACAGAAAAGTTGGAAGGATTGGCTCATTCCTGCTTGTAAAGAGAACTGAGTTCCTGGAGCACACAAGGATGCTGTAGAAGGTCAAAGTGTTAATTATTAATCTGAAAAGCCACTTTGAGGTTTCCATCTGTTATGTAGCTCACATAGAACAGAAAGTACACAATATGAGCTTTGCAGTGAAAAAGAAAAAATCCCATGAAATGGCAAAACTGTTCTGCTCCCCTGGTGAACAATTGGCAGGAGCAACATGGGTAAAATCACAGAAACAGGAGGGAAGGGACCTTGGGAGGTCTCTAGTCCAACCCCTGCACAAAGCTGAAATTAAACTGAGCTGCTCAGTCAGGGCTTTGTCTATTTAGGTCTTGAAAACATCCCAGGATGGAGATCATACAGCCACACTGGGCAACCTGCGACAGTGCCTAATTAGCTCGTAGTGGGAAGTTTTCCCTTATTTCCAGTTGGAAACTCTTGTTTCAATTTATGTCTGTTTTTTTCTCATTCACCTGCCATGCACTGCTGTGAAAAGCCTGGCTCCATCTCCTGAATAACCTGGGGGCTGCTATCAGTCAGTCCCCAGTCTTCACCAGTGCAAGGGGTTAGTCCATCCTGGGTGAATCCATGCTGGGTTAGCCCATCCCAGGTGAATCCATCCCAAGTGCAGGACTTTGCATTTGTTCTTGTTGAATTCCACGAGGTTCTTGTAAGCCCCAGCCTGTCCTGGTCCTCTTGTATGGCAGCCCTGACCTCAAGCGTATTGACTATTCTGCCAAGTTTGGTGTCACTCACAAATTTGATGAGGTGAATTTCATCTCCTCCTCCAGGTTGTTGATAAAAATATTAAAAAGGAAAGGTCCCAGGATAGTTCCAGCCAGTTTCCTACCCAACTAGCAGTCCACCCATCTAGACTGCAGTTTCTTTTGTATCTTTGATACAAGGATGCTGCAGGACATCATCTCAAAAGCCTTACTGAAGTCAAAGAAGACAACATCCACTATTCTCCCCTCATCCACCGATCTACCAGTCCATCCTTAAAGGCCAGCACGTAGGTCAAGCATGATTTACCCTTGGTAAATGAATGCTGGTCATTCCCAGTCACCTCCTCCTTCATGTGCCCAGACACAGCTTCCAAGAGGATGTGCTCAATGATCATCCCAAGAACTGAAGGGAGGCTGACAAAACTAGGTTCTCAGATAATCCTTCTTGATTTTTTGAAGATGTGCTAGAGAGGGAGATGTGCTTTGGAAGAGGGAGGGATGTCTTCCTATCTCATCCTTGTCATGCAGATGCTCAAACCTACAAAACTGTCCTGAAGACACTCTCCGTTCCACCTGGCAGATCAACAAGTGTTGATGGCATTAGGTACCAAACACTGCATTCACAAATACACACCAGGGTCCACAGTGCTTTCTCCCATGCTCCCTCAAAATAAAAAGGGTGCTGTAAAAAGAGAGCAGCCCTGGCTCCACATTTAAATTCCATCTAAA